ATTCTACTTGCACGTGCATAACTGCACTCTCAGAGACTAGTAGAAAGCATTGGATCCCCTGGAATTGAAGCTACTACAGACAGTTGTGAGCTGAGATGTGATGTGGGTTCTGGAAATTGAAGCTGGGTGCTCTTCGAGAGCAGCCTGTGCTGACCATCCCTCCAGCTCCATCCCGCTCTTTACATGGTTCCTAGGATTGAACGCTGTCTTTCAGATTGCCTAGCACTTCACCCCTTGTTTTCTCTCTTGTCTTTGAAACGGGACCTCACAGACAGAAGGCCGGCCTCCAATTCAATATCCAGGCAAGGACGACCTTGCTCCCCCTGCTCCCACCTCCCATTGCTGGGATTATAGCTGCATCTTCACATCTGGCTCACACAGAGCTGCAGACAGAGCCCATGACCTCAGTCAGACATTCTAGGGAAGCTGCATTCTGGCCTGCATCCCAGTAGGACCTAAGAACTTTGAAATATTTATTAAGGGCTCCTGCCCTGCTGCACACCTCCGGCTCCCTCCCTTAGGGCTTTGTTACTTCCTCCCAGTGGAAACTTACGAGGATGGAAAAGTGTAAGTGATTCCAGTTTAAGTGAATTTCAGAAAACTCTAGCAAGGACCAATATCAAGCACCTTTAAAACCACCAATTAGGAGACAGAGATAGGTGGATCTCTGTGAGTTCGAGGGTATAAATGTACGCAGACATGCATCCACACACACATACACACATATGTTTTTACAGGAATGCATACACTTATGCACATGCATGTGCACATGCCCAAACATATATGCATTCAAATTCATGCACCCTCACATACCTGCATGTATACAAGCATAAATACACGTGGAACTAAATGGATGGCATTTAATTGTGTGGCTCAAGGGTCATATATATTTTATTCCTTTCAGAGTTCATCCATGCCCAGCAGACATTAGAAGTTCAATAGTAAATTTGTTCATTGCTGAGCATAAAGCCTGGGACCACATACATTCTCGCTTAGTATTCTGTCACTGAGCCCCCCCACTTCTATTTATTTTATTTCACTTCATGTGCATTGGTGTTTTGCCTCCATGTTTGTCTGTGTGAGGGTGTAAGATCTTCTAGAACTGTAGTTACAGAGAATGGCAAGCTGCCATGTGGGTGCTGGGTATTGAACCTGGGTCCTTGAGAAGAGCAGCCAGTGCTCTTAACTGCTGAGCCATCTCTCCAGCCCCGAGCTCCCCTATCAAATCTTTTTGTCTTTCAGACTAAGATGTCCTGATCTTGCACTGACTCTGGCTGGTCTTGAACATGCAATCTTCCTGCCTCGGCCTTTTGAGTACTGAGATCACAAGCGTGAGCCACCTTGAATCAGGAGGACTATGACACCTTCTTCTACCACCTGTTTGATGGCAGCACGGGATTTGCAGCACAAGTGTTACATCTTACCAAGCTGCACTGAATTCATGTCCTGAGTCTAGACTTTCATTTCTGCTGCCTTCTGCTTGGGACACTGGATCCTGCCCAACACCTCAGATCTCTGTCAAGTTGGTGGTGTTGGTGGACCAGCACTGCAAGAGACCGCTGCAATTCAAGAAATAACCTCCAGGGGGCAGAAGAGGAAGGCACTGCTGCTTGGGCGTTCCCAGACCCCTGCAGAGAACCACCTTGGGACTTGGCGCTCACCTTCCAGAGAAGCAGGGCTGTCCGGTTGCCAGCTGTCTCACAGATGGCGCCCGAAATCCACACATCTTTAGGAGCTGATGAGGACAGGCAAAGGCAGGTACAGTTAGATGGACAAGGCTGCCTGACCTGTGGTGGACCGAGGCCCAGGAGTGCAACACTAAAGGAGGCATCCTTACGCAAGAACGGCGTCTGGAAGGACAGGTCCGGGCTCCACTCGCCCCAGGGATCTCCGTTCTCTACTCGGCAGCGGCCAGACACCTGGTAGCTGGTGCCAGGTTCCAGGTTCTGCATCTCAACAGGAGGCAGCAGATCTGTCTTCAGTTGTGGCTCCAGCTGGGAAAAGGATGGCGAAGTGATGGGGTAGCCCTCTGTGCTGAGGCGAATTCTTTTCCCGAAGCTGTGGCCCTGGGTCTGGCACAGGCTAGGTAAGCCCTCTAGTACTGAATATTTACAGCAGGCCCTCGGAGTGTGCGTGCCTGCATATGTGTGTGTGTGTGTGTGTGTGTGCGCGCGCGCGCGCGCGCGAGTGAGCGCTCATACAGGTGTTGGTGTCAAGTGCCTTCCTTTACCCACTAAGTCATCTCGCTAGTCTCCATTTTTGAGACGAGGTCTCTTGCTGGCTCATTCGTTGGACTGGATGGTCGGTAAGTTCTGAGATCCACCTGTGTCTGCCTCTGCTGCGGTTACATGGTGCTACCATGCTTTTTTTTCCTCCATGGGTGCTGGGATCTCAGGACCTCATGTTTGTGTGTCAAACACTTTGATTACTGAGCGATCTTCCCGGCTGTAGTATGGTTTGTTTGGCTTTTTTTGTTTGTTTTGAGACAAAATTCTAAAAACCTGTTTTTATTTTAAATATCTTTATTTTATGTATGGATGCTTTGATGTATTCCTACATGATAGAAGAGGACATCAGTTTGGGTGCTGGGAATTGAACTCGGGTCCTCTGGAAAAGCAGCCAGTGCTCTTAATCGCTGAGCAATCTCTCCAGCCCAAGACCAATTTTTTTTTAACTGATCAAGATACTCATACAGGCCAGGTGTGTGCAAATCTTTAATCCCAACATGGGGGGCATAGGCAGGTGGACCTCTGTGAGTTTCAGGCTAGCCAGGACCACACAGTGAAATCTTGTCTCACTGCCCCCTCCCCCCATACCCAGTGTCTAGAGGTGGCAATGAAATCCTGCTGTTCAGAGCTTGGGAGGCTGAGGCTGGAGGATCGTGTCTCTGAGACCAGCTGGCTGGCTGCATGGCTAAGTAGACAGAAAACAGAAACAAGTGGACAGAGTTGCTTATGAGGCCTTCTAGTGAGATCTGGGGGTAACTCCATGACAGGTGTCGAATCCTATCTATCAGGGATAGGGTGGGAAAGAAGCCGCCCCCCCCCCACTCACCTGAGTCCACTCTTTCTCCTGGCATCTTTTGTACTGGAATTGACAGAGGAGAACCTCATGAGGTGGCCACAGAGGTGGTCTCCACAGCATAGTGGCCTCCAAGGGTTCATCCTCAGAGAAGTCCACATCAGAGAGGAGCTGGGGGGTGCCTGGCTTCACTGTGAATAGGAGGCCAGAGCACCATGAGTTAGGGCCTCCAACTACACCCGCCCCCCGCACTGTGCCTCACCCTCCCACTGCGTTACTTTGGGTTTCCAGGTCCACGAAGACAGGGGACCAGAGAAGTTGGCCCTCATGTGTCCCCCAGATGAGGAGTCTGTCAGCCATGGTGAACTGTTCCCGGGGAATGGTCACCCAGTTCTGCCTGGAAGGCACCTTTACCTCCCTGGTTCTATTGGAATGGCTGTGGGGAGAGATGGGGAAGAGACGCAGGCTGGCCCAGGCTAAGCGCCCTGGCACCTGCGCTGCTGGCATCTGAAGCACTGCTCTATGTCAAAGCGGTGCAACCTGAGGCAGGCAAGTGCCTTAACCTCTCTGTTACTCCTCTAAAATCCTGCAGTCCATGTGCGTGTTGAAAGAGCTCTGTAGTGGGCCAGGGGACGGTTCCCTGTCATCCCAGCACTTGGGAGATGGAAACAGGAGGATTGTTAGAGGCTAGCTTCACACAGTAAGAATGTCTCAGAAACGTCCTCCTCCGTTCCTCCTCCCAAAGCCCTTGTCACCGTCCCTTACTTAGTCCAACTAGAATGGAGTTTCTAGATCACATCTGCACCCTGCCCACTCCCAGCACCCACTTTCATTATGATTCCAAGCACTAGACTGATTTTTTTTTTTTTGAGACAGGATTTCAAGAAGCCCAGGCTGGCCACTGGTTATGAAGCTGAGGCTGGCTTTGAACTCCTGATCTTCCTGCCTCATCTCCTAGTGTTGAGGTTGCAGGTGTGCGTCACCATGCTGGCTTAGACTAGTGTGTTCATAGAGTAAAGTAAACTGCTCGAAAAAGTCAAGCTATCTGCCTGATGTTGAACGGCGATATAAACCTGCTTCCTGGTACTAAGCATTTTTTCTTTGCCATGTGCCTAGCGCATTGATGGACAGAATCAATCATGGGAGGCACGTGCCATCATTACTGCATTGGGGGGGGCACTAGTTACTGCGTGACTAGTCCAGAGTTATGCAGTAAGGAAATGAGTGGGACCTGGCTTGAGGGTCTTGAAAATGTGGAAGAAATTCCCAGTAGCAAGACTCGGGGGTCCTCTTAACCAAAGCCAGTTGCAATCCGAGTGGCCACTTCCCGTACCTCAGTTTTCCCAGACCACTCCAGGTTACTCACTACTTCTGACTCTGGTGATACAGCACAGGTGGAATCTCCAGGTCGCCCAGAGGTTCCCAGGAGCAGTTCAGGTTTCCCAAGGGTCCGATTCTGTAGCATTGCAGTGGGCCGGGGCTGCCTGTGGGGGCGCAGAGGGCCGAGAGGGCCACGATCAAGTTCCGAGGGCTCTAAACATGCCAGACTGTGGATGCCTTCATTCTCCGGTTCTGCGGGAGTGCCGGACCAGAGTCCAGGGCCTGGCACGTGCTGGGACAGCGCAAAGGGAGTCCCGGGCCCCTCCCCAATCCTGCTACGTCCTGTTGTCACCTAGTCCCCGCCGCCCTAAAACTGTGATCCCAAGTCGGCCACTCACGAAGCCTCTCACCCGGGGGCCGCGTCCCAAGCAGCAGCGGCAGCAGTGGCAGCAGCAACAGCAGCTCCAAATGTGTGAGGCAAGCAACCCGGGGCCCGCTCATAGTTCCCAGGGACAAGAGGCACCGCCAGGCCTGGGGCTTGCAGCCTAAGAAGGAAGACACCCCGCCCCTGGCGGGAAGTCCCCAAATCCGCCCACCCCCAGCAATGACACGCACGCGTGCAAATGTTCAGAACTGAACCTTTATTTTGTAGTGGGAAAGCCTGAGTACTGGGGCCCTCGCGTCCCCAGCCCTGGGTTCTGCACGCAGCAGAGTGCTTTGGGCTGGGGACCGACGGTAGAGGAGCGGGGAGGGGGGCGTAGATTGCCATGGCCTGGCCAGGAAACAGCGGCGGCAATTAGGACTGGACAGGACATGGGTTCTTAGTGTGGCCAGTTTGGGTAGGTGGAAGCCTGGCTGTAGCCGGGCTCTCTGGAGCTGGGGTTGGGGAGGGGAAGAATTCAGCCATAAAGATCAAGTTTCCTCTTGGCTGGGTATGGGTGTGGTCCGGAGCTAGGTGGGGCTAGTAGCGTCTTGGCAGAAGGTCTGTGAGGAGACCGCGGAGGCTGCAATGCCTTGCCCGTAGGAAGGCTCGTGAGCATCGCACAGACAGCAGGTTGGAGACACCGGGCGCGGCCCCCATCGCCCGACCCGGGTACTAGCACAAGCTGCTGATTTGACTCCTACTACAGCCCCACTCGCAGCAGCTACTGGAAAGGCCAGCCAGGACATCTCTGCTGCCCCGAACTGCTCCAGGCGACCCTTGCCAGCTGGGTCGACTACCATAGAAGGCCTGGGGGGATTTGGTCAGGCCCAGCCACTCGCTGGAGCCCACAGCTTCGTCCAGTTCGCTGGCCAGGTTGTCCGTATTGGCTTCTGCATCAGGGAAGAAGTCCCCTGCAAAGCAGAGGAAGCGTTAGGGCTCAGAATGCCGGCTCCTGTCTGGCCAGGTTGTATCTCTGGTCTTGAGAATCAAGGTTGCTATCCAAAGTTTTATTTCATGCGGTCCTGGACTTTGATACTGGTTTCAATACTAAGCCCGACTTTCCTGTCACGGATTTCATGTTATTCTTTATTTAATGTGGACCAGGTAGACGAAAGAATGCATTTGGAAGCTAGGCTCCCTAACTTAGAATCATAAATGAGCTTACCTCTCTGAGGCTCAGTTTTCTTTTCCATGAAGTGGGGGGAAATAATAGCTCCTACTCTCTTCAGTTTTATCGATAGTGGGATGCTTAGCGCCAGCAAGGGCACAACAAAATCGGATACACAATGAGCCGCAAATGAACACTGATTATTTATTGACTGACTTGATCGTTTGCCACATTAACTTCCTCGGTCCCCTCGGTGACAGCCACGGAGCTGCTGCTATTGCCACCCACTATCCAAATGAGCCGGTGGTTCCTCAGTGAGCTCGTGTGAGGTGAGAACACAGCCATTCGGCCATAGGCTACTGTTTTAACCCAGGCGCACTGCTATCTGCCCACGCGTCCATCATCCACCCATGGCTCCATCCTCATCACTGCCATCTTCCCCAGTTTTGTTTTTTGAGGACAGAGTCTCAGGCTGCGCTGGAACTCGTGACCATCCTGCCTCAGCTTCCCAGAGTGCTGGGATTCTAGCCATGTGCCAGCAAGCCTTGCCTCTAAGGAGCTGCACCCTCCTTGCCTCTCCTACTCCACCCACTAAATTGTCTACCCTTAAAAAATTCTGCTAGATCTCACCTGCTGTGACTTCCATTTCGCCAGGAATTGTCTCTCCAAGGGGGAGCAGGGGCATCCAGGAGGTGGCAAAAATCAAGCCCTGTGCCCATAGCCCTCCACCTGCCCTGCTCACTAGGCTCCAAAACCTGCTGTGCCCTCAGCAGGTGCCTCAGGGACAGTGGCACCTCTGCTGAGTGCTTGGTGACAGGACTCAGGAAAAGGTGGCCTGATGGCTCTACCTTTACTCCTCTGCCAGCAAACCCAGGGTGCTGGCTTCTGGCCATTTCAACTCTACAACTGGACCACCCTGGTCCTGCAGAAGCGCAAAGGCCAGGCAGGTGCTCCCACAGCGTGTGGCTAGAGAGGAACTCTATTCCACCAAACCTCCCGTTTGTACTTTGAATTTTTAAGATTAGGTCTTAATCTGTAGCCCAGGCTGCCCTGAAATGCAGGAAACTTCTGCCATCACTTCGCAAATATTTGGAAGTCCCGTTTGCGCCATGTCTGGCTATACACCCCTCCTCTGTTTTGCCCACCTGTTCCAGGGTGATCCTCCACCCAGGCCACACACATACTCACCCAGAGAGTCATGGGCCAAGACATCCGCCCGGCGCCATCGCGAGCCCCCGCAGGTGAAGATGACCGCTCGGATGAACTCGCGCCCGCACAGCTTCACCACGTAGGGCGCTGGCCTCGCATCGGCCTGCAGCTGCAGAGTCCCAAGGAGAGCCCAGGAAGCCAGCAGCAGCAGCCCGAGGGTTGCCATACTCAGCTGAGATGCCTGCGACCAAGGTGGCTCTCTCTGCACCACCTCTTTCCCCTCATTTATACAGGCTGGATCTCAGCCCCTCCCGCTGACTTATCTTCCTCACAGGGGAGGCAACCTGACCTTTACCAATCCTTGCCAAAAGATAACCTTTCATGCAGACAGGGTGACAGGGCTCAGCTCTCTGTCATCCTTCTGCACCCGGGAAGTTCTCGTGCTTTGTCAATTAGTAAGTGCTGGAATTATAGGAGTAAGCCTCTACCTACCTTCCTTCCTTCCTTCCTTCCTTCCCCTCCTTCCTTCTCTCTCTCTCTCTCTCTCTCTCTCTCCCTCCCTCCCTCCCCCCCTCTCCTTTCTATTTATTTATAGACAATCTCCCAGCCTGGCTAACCTCAAACTCTATCATCAAGATCTCCACTGGAGCTAAAGAAATGGCACTGGCACAGAAGATAAGAGGCGTCCTGCTCTTCCAGGTGGCCCAAGTTTGGTTTCCTGCACCCAAAGTAGGAAGCTCACGGTTGCCTGTAACTCCAGTCACAGGGGATTTGACGCCCCCATCTGGCCTCCTGTGGGACCTGCATGTACATGCTCATACATGCACATATATAGACATAAACAGCAATAAAAAGCACACATTAAAGAAAGGTCACTCTGCAGGACAGCTGTGACCCTTGACCTTTCCCCTGGATTCTGGGGGCCAACTGTGCTCCCCACATTGGGGGTTAACAATCACCCAGGACTCCAGTTCCAGGGCATATGGTGCTCTCTTCTGGCCTCCACAAGCCCCTGCCCTCGCATGCTACACATAAACTCGCTCAGGCGCACACACACCCATATAATCAATAGACAGAGTGGTAGAGCATTTGTCATGGGTTCAATCCTCATTGCTGAGAAAACCCGGCAAAGATAGAATTCTAACTGCATACTGTGTCGTCAACGACTGCGGAGCCCAGGCTGGCCTCAGATTTGCTATCCCTCTGCCTCAGCCTCCTGAGTGGCCTAGTGGTCTGGCTGTCTCCAACACCCACAGCAAAGGAGCCACACCCAGTTTTTAATGTGGGTTCTGGGGACTTGAACTCAGGCCCTCATGCTTTTGCAGCAAACACTCCCACTGAGCAGGGTCCTCAGTCCTGATATGTGCTATTTAAAGGGTGGATATAAAGAGGCTTCCCGTTGTTTTCTTCCTCAGGCCAGAGACTGGATGGTGTCTTCTTCGAATCCTACCAGATCCTACTGGATCCTACCAGATCTTACCTGTTACCATTCTCCTTTCCATCTCAGATTACTGCTGCCTCTCACCTTCTCATCCGTTTCTTTGTATCCATCCACAGAGTTCTAGTGTTTTAAAGTCCTGGAGATGAACCCAGGGCCTCAGGCACGTTTAGAAAGAAAGTGACACTGAGCCACACCACAGTCCACAGATGTGGGTTTGTGAAGAGCTGAATTGTTTTTATTGGATTGTAGTTTAATGATGTTTTTTTAAAGAGATTTATGTATGTATGTATGTATGTATATATGTTTTCCAAGACAGGATTTTTCTGTAGCTTTGGAGCCTGTCCTGGATCTAGCTCTTGTAGACCAGGCTGGCCTTGAACTCACAGAGATCTGCCTGCCTCTGCCTCCCAAGTGCTGGGATTAAAGGCGTGCGCCACCATTGCTCGGCTATTTTTTATGTTTCTGTTCTTGTGCTAATCCTCTGACATGAGTGTGGGGTCAGAGAACATTTTCCAAGACTTGGGAATCAATTCTCCCCTTCCACAATGTGGTGTGGGTCTGGGGATGAAACGCAAGCCTTCAGGCTAGACAGCTGTAGTGATAAGGTCAGCGGGGCTGCATACCCAGCACCCCAGCCGCCTGCTAGCTTATGCCTGAAATAACAACACTCAAACTGTATTCATTTAAACACTGCTTGGCCCTTTAGCTCTAGCCCTTACTGGCTAATTCTGATATCCCGATCAACCCATCTCTAATAATCTGTGAGCACCGGTCTTACCGGGAAGATTCTAGCCTACGTCCATCCTGGGTCAGAGCTTCATCGTGTCTGCCTCAGAGAGCAGAGCTCTCGCGTCCTCCCGGGAGAGGGGAGCATGGCGTCTCCCGAGAGGAGAGCTGTCGAGTCTGAGCTCACTTCCTCTTCCTCCCAGCATTCTGTTCTGCTTACTCCACCCACCTATGTTCTAACCTATGAGGGCCAGCCAAGCAGTTTCTTTATTTATTTAACCAATGACCTTCCTCCATCAGACAGCAAAAGCCTTTACCCGCAAGCATATCTGCATGAATATGTGTGTGTATACAAATAGTCAGGGTCTCATATCTGCATGAATATGTATATATTAATAGTCAGGGTCTCATATCTGCATGAATATTGTGTATATATTAATATTCAGGGTCTCATATATGCATTAATATGTGTACATATTAATATTCAGGGTCTCGTATATGCATGAATATGTGTGTATATATTAATATTCAGGGTTTCATCTCTGCATTAATATGTGTACATATTAATATTCAGGGTCTCGTATGTGCATGAATATGTGTGTATATATTAATAATCAGGGTCTCATATATGCATGAATATGTATATATTAATAGTCAGGGTCTCATATATGCATGAATATGTGTACACATTAATATTTACAGTCTCATATCTGCATGAATATGTGTACATATTCCAGCCCTCAGGAAGCTGAGGCAGGAGGATTGCCATAAGTTCCAATCAAATCAACCTCAAGTTCCATACTAAGTTCCCAGCTACCCTGGGCTACAGAGTGAGAGTATATCAAAAAGTAAAATAAAAACAATGTTCATCAGGACACTAGAGATGGGCAGCCTAGGTTTGTATCTCATCCTTACCTGCCTTCTTGCTGTGTGAACGTAAGGGAGTCACTTGACCTCTCTGTGGCGCGGTTTCTCATCTATACAACAGGGAGGCTGGGAAGAGTGCACCTGGTTCTTCCATTATCGTCGTCACAGCCTGTGTGGTCAGTACTGTGCACTTCTGTCCTCTGTTGCCCTGATGGACATCCTGGGGGTCGTCTCCCTGCGCTGCCTGGAAAGGGCTGATGAATAATTTGCTTCCCAATCCCAGCTGCCCCTTTGCCAGTGCAGCTCACAGGGTGCAACCTTCTGCCCTTTTCTCTTCCGCATCCTGATGCCTGGTCAGGAGCCTGCTGGCAGACAGGAGCAGGTCCCTTGGGGCTGCCTGCCTGTCTGTCTGCCTGGCCCAGACAGGAGTCTCTTTTTGCCTTCCACGGTGTCTGAAATCTGAGCCCATCAAGCTGAGATAGAATTCTGGTTGCTGTGCTCCTGGAGGAAGGTCTTACACCTCTCTGAGTTCACTGAGAAGATGCAGACAATGTGTGTGTGTTAGCTTTACAGGCTGCTGAGGACTTGGAGGTGCATGTTTCTTCTTGGATGCTCCAGGCCACACATCCAAGAAGAGACACACCTGGGGACCAGGGTGGGCACTTTGGGAATAGAAATTTCACAGATGCATTAAGGGTCTTGGAATAAGGTCATGCTACATTTTCTGAATGGGTCTCCAGTTCAGTGACAGTACTAATAGACAGAGGGGAGTCGGGCTACGATACCTGTATCTGCAGCTCTTGGGATGTAGGTATAAGATCAGGGGTTCAGGCTGGAGGGATGGTTCAGCGGTTGAGAGCACTGATGCTCTTCCAGGGGTCCTGAGTTCAATTCCCAGCAACCACATGGTGGCTCCCAACCATCTATAGTGGGATCCGGAATGCAAGCAGACAAGCAGGCAGAATACTGTATACATATAAATAAATAAAATCTTTTTTTTTAAAAAAAAAAAACATCATGGGTTCAAGGTCATTCTCAGCCACACAGTGAATCTGAGGCCATTCTGGGCTGCGTGAGACCATTCCCAAAAACCCCAAACAAGATACAAAAACACTAGGGCCTTGGAAATAATTTTGTTGGTAAATTCCTTCCTTGTCTTGCAAGTTCGAAGCCCCAAGTCTCATCCCATGAAAATAATGCTCATAAAAACGGTGATCCTCACCTGTGATCCCAGCTCTGGGAAGCAGGGACATGAGAACCCTGTGGCTCACAGGACAGTCAGTCTAGCCAACTCAGGAGCTAGTTTAGTCAGAGTGCCTGTCTTAAAAAAGAAAAGATGGAGGGCTGGGGGTCAGTATGCTTGTCCTGTAAGCTTGAGGACCTGAATTTGGATCTTCAGAGCCTGTGTAAAAGATGGTGCTCCTGTGCCCGACCCCGTGACCCCGTGACCTCACAGTAGGATGGAAAATAGAGGCAGGAAGACCCGTGGGACCTTGAAAACCAGCTTGCCTGTGCGCAGGAAGTAAGAAACCCTACCTCAAGTGCTAGGGAAATGGAGAACCACACCCAAGCCTGGATTCCGACAGCCACAAGTGCACACAAAGACATGTAGTTACACGGACACACAGAGACACACAGCACATACAAGCACCCATATACACACCAACAAAATGTCATAGACATCCTGATACAGGCATGCATATACAGAGACATACACACAGAGAGACACAAAAACACAATCACACACAGACACGCATTCACACATATAGACACAGAAACATGCAGACACACACACATGTATACATAAATACAAACTTAAAGAATAAATCTTTTTAAAAAGTTTGTTTGTTTTTTTCTTTTCAGTAAAAGTGGCCAGGGACACCTTGGAAGGCCGAGGGACAGCCTGGTGCGAGGCGTGTGTAGCAGGAGAGCCCAGGACTTGAGACAAGCACTACTGGAGGGAGGAGCATCGATGTGTCCCTTCGCTTGCTTCCTTCATCGCTGCTGTTGTTCATGACTGCAGAGTGCTCCCACCCTACCCAGATGACCTCTGTTCAAGCCGGGCCCAGGGACAGATGTGTTCATCCATTAAGTTCCACTCGAACCGTGTCACACAACCCCATGGAACACCAGGTCACACAAACGCAAGCGTGTCTGTGCATGCCTTTCCCAGAGGTTTCTGACAGTCACAATTTGGACATTGTCAGAGCTCCCCCTTTCAGGGCTAAATCAACACACTCTCACACACCGGGTTAAGAATCTGTTTGCGTACAG